AAGTGAAGGCGGCTGGAACAGGAGGTAACACTACCCTCTCACTACCCCCTGCACTATTTCCAGACCTTCGCTTTAGGAGAAGGCTTTATGATATTCATATTCGAAATAAAAGCCAAAAATCCGTGCCCTTTTGAACCAGTAAAGAATTTGTCGATCCATGATTCTGGGTACCAAACGAAGTGGCGTTCCAGGTTCTATGAGGTTCGCGGTTTACTACAAGACAAATGCAACGCTGAAAATGCTCATATTGAAGAAGCACATTCCGAGATATCTTCAGCGTCGTCCACATTGTCTACTGGCATAACTTCGATATGATGTACCGAAAGGTTTGCATACGGATAAATGACAACTGTCTGCAGTTTGAGTCGAGCAGCCTAGCAGCTTCCATAAGGCCCAACACTCCGTTATGCAGGGGCATACCGTCAGTCAAACGGTCGTTTCTGTATTTGCCAAAGACAATTCAAGACTTAGTCTACCGATACAACAGCCCCTGAAATTATGATACCGAAATATTTAATGGGCAATTAATACTCCTCCAAAGTTGGGGCGCTATCACTAACTTGAACCGAACATCAAAACTGACGTTATGAGTAACCTACATCGGTCGCTCATGCATTTTAGTGTTGTTTATTGTTGATTATTTTTTGTCTCATGTTATATTCTCATATGCTTGCTTCTGTCTTATCACCTGCACTTTAATCATGCTACCGGTGTGCTAGCGCGCAACTACTTTAAAAATCAGTACCACTTAATCGATTATTTGCGTGAAACGAAAACAGCTTACGATTGATGTGTGAAACTGGTGGACATGCTGCTGCAACCACGTAATAGCCTAACGCTGCAGTCGGTTGAAAGTTTGGCTGAGAAGTGATATTTTCTGTATGTGAAGTTAACAGCGTTTTTTGCTGGTTTGAATCGTTCACAAAATAGCAAATTCTAAATTACCAGTTTAACAGTCCAATTAACTGTTCATGCTGAAGACTCCGCAATAGTCATAAAGAAATCTGAACACTAAAGCTATCTTGTTCTCTCTTACTTTGGACATGTTACAATAGCAAACTACTGTATTTTTGTTTCGTGTATTGCTTTTTTGGCTGTTTATTATGACTGTTATTCATTTTTTACTTGAGTAATATATTCACGAATGATTGCACCGTCAAACCCCCTCCACAACGCATAAAGTGCGCAGATGCTACAACTGTGTCAGGATTCTTGAGGTCATCAGAAAACTGGTGTCGCTACGAGAATGCTATTTTCATAGTGGGAAAATTCCTTTCATTTAGTGGACTGAAATTCAATATGTTTGAAACGCGCAAACGGAACTAGGCTATGCTCAACGTGAAATCGCAGCCATTACTTTGATAATCGTGTTCTTAGCATTGAAAGTGCATTTATACAGTCTGTTATGTGTGTGAAATATCTAGGAATAATCCTACCTACCGGCTCTGCTGCGAAACAGCAAGTGAAATCCATGGTTGCGACCTTTAACATGAAAAAATGGCGGAACATTGATCCACCAAGACAGGCATAGTCTTTGTCTTTGCATGTATGTTACCGCCGTACGTGAGTACTGTATGTATGGCTCTGGTAGTGTCACCTCTGGACCGTATTCCTGCGAATCTAGACGATTCACAGATCGTAGAATATGGTTGAAGAATGACTCGCTCTCAATTTAAATGATCTGACCTTAAAAATGATCGACGCAGCAGTTTCGCATAGAGTGAATGGGAAGAACAGCACCCTTAATAGTGGTGCACAACCAGTAAACAAGTAACTGTCCGTCGCATCGCATATCTTGAAGTATTTTATTAAATCTGCGTACTTGTGCATTCTGACAAGAAGAGAAACCTCGGAAGAAGGTCATCTTTTAAACTGCATTATTTAAATCTGCTGCATATTTGATAATTCTTGACAAGGAATGACCCCGATTTTCCGGGGTAGCTATCACGCAGTAGCTCTCCGATTCCGCCACAAAACAGAATAATTCAGTTTCTGACACCGGATTTACTGGGCGTAAGCACATCGTCTTTATGCTTCTAATCGACTAGGGGGTCCATTTAAACAGGCCACGTTCCACTGTATTCGAGCACTTGCAATGCATTTGAAAAGGGGTCGGATCCCTGAGTTCAGGTGAACAATGGCGCATTCCAGCAAAACCTAAACCTACCAATATCCATAGGCAAATGCATCGAAAAAGCATGAGGTCTAGTCGAAGCACCTCTGAAGAGATTTTCGCCTTAGGCTAAATGGTTGAGAAATCGTGATGGTTTGTTCATCTAGCTTGTATGTACGTTGTTGGGCTGGAGAAAGCCCATGACCGGATCCGGCGTAACAAGCTAAGGGTGTGCTGGCAGATCTCTAGGATATACGTCTAGTTACTATATGTTGATAACAGCTACTGCGCTAGAGTAAATGGCGTTTACCCGAGATCCTGCATCGTTGGCACTGTTCTCCGTCCAAGACACGTTCTGTCCCTTTCTTGTCTGTGTGATTCATGGATAGAATAGGCAGGCGTAATCAGGGCGACGAGTGTGTCAACGGTGTCGAGACAGCAAATTTGGTGTTTGCAGATAACTGTTTAGTTGGGATCTTCCACAACCGATTTCCAGCGCTCTTCGAAAGATTTGCAGCCGAGTGCGACGGAGGACGAACAGAACATGTGGAACAGTTCACGCAGTTCAGTGTCGTGTTTCATAGTGATGGAAAATGGGAGAAAGAGATCTACCGGTGAATTGGGATGGTAAGAGACGTTCTGCGTGATCTATTCAGCTCCGCTCTGTTTAAAGCACAACTGAGTTTGAAGATCAAGCTGTCTGTTTTCTCAAGTCGGTTGTCACCGTCTTCATCTACGGGACATGCGTAACGAGATAGCGGCTGCAACAAAGAGAAGTAGAAGAACAGAGATGGCAAGATGAAACGAGGTTTTGGATTTAACAAAGCCCAAAAAGTGAGAAGAATTGTGAAACAGCGCAAAGTATGTATGATACTCAATTAATTACGGTGAGAAATACCACCTTTGGAATTTTATGGCCGACTGGACGGAATCCGCAGCACCGACACTTAAGCAGAGAGTCAATGATGAAGTGACGTTCATTAACGGATTTATATGCTGCAATTTGTTATTGTCTGACAAATGCACTGACTTTCACGTGCTAACCTCATTTACCGTAGGAGTAAAACGAAGTATTTAGTAGCATTTTGAAATCCGATGCAATGGATGAAAATTAGCTTCAAATGAAAATGTACTGCCTGAAAGTAATTGCCAGAAAATTCTGTTTTTCTGCGCAGACAAAAAAATTATCTAAATTATTTAACGAATCGTGAGAATGAATGCAAATAAAGCCACAAACAATTAAAATTGCGACCACTACCTAAGCTATTGTACAACGGTCCAAACGTTAAACAACAGATTTTCGGTGATGCTCACAGACTTTTGCAACAATATTGAAGTCAAGAAATTTAACAAAATGACAAGTTGCCAAGTTTAATGACAGAATTGTCAAGTGAATCTTTTAAGAGTTGAAGTTCGGCAAACGATGAGTAAAGCAACCGTGAGCTGCGAATATAACGTAAAGAATATTTAATTTTTCGACTGAACTTGAATCAGACGCGAAAATTTTTGGATTTGACAGCATGCACATTTAAAGATTGTATCTTTGTCGTCTCAGTATCAATTCTTACATTCGTAGCATTCTGAGACTTGCACTACTACCGTCATTCTACCGGTGACTGATTATTAAGCAGACTTTTCCTACTTTTTCTCAACTAATGTATACAAGTTGTTCAGCTACACTCTGCTAACCGCGACCGCCTTAACAAACATTTGACCCTGCCTTCGCAACTAACCGAGCCAATACTAGTAAATATACATATTAAATAACTTAAAATGAAATAACATTCGAATTAAAACTTTCAGGCGCAATTATGCTGAGTACAAGCCCTTATTATTAGCCATGCCTCGAGTATGTACAAAATAAGTACTTCTGGAAAGTGACTGGCAACGAGTGCGTGCTTCTATAAAAATAGAAATTTCTTGAGATGCATCGACGTATTATCAAACCACAAATGTCATTTTCTGTTCAAAGCAAATGAGTGCCAGCTCAGAATACGTCCATAACAAGTTTTGGTAAACATTTCTCATTGATTTACGGCATGTTTAAAGAACCGGCAAATAATCAAACACTTTATCCATGGATACGCCCTATATATCACATTATACAACGTAAGAGATTGTAGTCAAGCAAGACAGTGTCGTAACTAAGACTGTTTTTCGCACTTATTGTATATATTGCTGCAACTGCGGAGAAAAGAAATGAATGAAACTTGTAAATGGAGAAATTCAGACGTAATTTCTTTCTTCAGACTCTTTGGGGGAGTTGCTTCATCGCAGCGAGAAACAGCACTGAAATGACTAAAGGAAACCTGTTCTTATTTTTTGTACTGCCATCCATCGAATTAAAAAACTTTTTAGCTTCACATTTTTCTTACAAACCTCAAATTTACTAATAAGAGGAATGCGGCTGGATACAGGTTGTTGAAATTAGTCGCTAGCAGCCGTTATATCAAATCGCTGAACTGTTGTGACGAATAAAATTGTGTTAACAATTTGCGGCCATCCGTGCCGGCATTTTGTTGGATAGCGAACAGCTGCCTAGTGTAAGCATAGTTTTCTTAAATTTTATTGGCGGCAATTTTGACACAAGAGAAAAGGCGAAAATATTCAGAGTAAACGA